TAACTCACATTATGTTAACAGGAATATCTCCATTCTATGGTGATGGTTCTGAGCAGAACATAATACATAATACAAAGACTGCTAAATTAAATTTCAATTCAAAACAATGGAATTTGGTGTCAGACAATGCTAAAGATTTTGTTGGAAAACTTCTGACAGTTGAAGTAAAAAAAAGAATGGATACCGATCAAAGTTTTGCACATGATTGGATCTATAGACATAAGGATAAGTTAGAGAAGATATATTTGAAGAAAATATTGAGTATTGATAATAACGATGGCACCTTGGATAATAATTTTAAATTCGACTGGAAAAGAAGACTACCAAAATATGTTTCAGTAGCATCAAATACGTCGGTTCGAACCAAAAAGGTCAAAAGGCAACTCTAAACATAATCCAATTTCGGCATTAATACTAAAGTTGAAATTATTACTCAATTTAATAGTAGTACAGTGGCATACTGTATTATTCATCATATTTCTATAAATTTTATGGATAGTCATTATCAGCTTATGCTCCCCACATTGTTTCGTTCCGCCCTCAAAATAAAAAAGGTGTAAATTTCTTAAAAATGTTCAATACAAGAAAATAAATTGGAATTACAATTAACAATGGATCATATGGCCATAACCCCATACTCCTTGTCAAGTTTCTATTCAGCACACTTTATGACAATAAACCATCGTATCAATCCTCACTTACACTTTGCTTGCTATATGAAAAGTAATGTTACAATTACAAATCCGTCAGATTTTTGTACTGTGCCAACTAAATTTTTAAATATCCACGATAATTTTTGATTTGAGAAACATGGTTGAGCTAATAATGATCGCATTGACTACTTAGTATTGAAATATAACAGGAAAGTCAAATTAACAATTTCTTCATGTGTAGTGGCAGGTCCTTTGGTCCAATAAAATATTAACGAAACCCTTTATCTAAATCAGTTGATATCCATGAAACATCTACATTGCCTAATATTGTTAATTGATAATAATAATAAAGATAGTTATTAAACCAGCCTTGTGTGTGTCCTTAGGTAATAACTTCGACCTCTAGAAGATTCAAGAAAAAGAAAGGAATTGATTTTTGGTATACAATCAATAAACTTATTTTTGGAAATAATCCAGAAAGAATTTTGTGAGAGTGAACTGAAACCTTTAAATGAATATTTGAATACAATAACGCTATCAGATGCCTTTCTACCAAGTTACCGTCTTTTTTTGATTCTTTGTCCCTCTTTTTTTTTGTTTCTTCGATCTTTCCTGATACGAATGCATGATTTACGACTATACCCGCTTTTTACTTTCCACGGAGATACCCGTGGTTTACAATAACCAAGTTACTTTTAACTGGAATTAGGTAAAGTTTATCTCAAAGTTCCTACAGTTACAGTGTAAATTTTAGTATATTATCAATAAATATTATTGTTGACCTTAGTAGAAGCTGGTGAAACTTTTGAACAATTGAGGTCAATAAATGTCTTAAATTTTACTATTGCTATTATTTGTCTCTGCTTGAGATAATTAGAATAATTATTATTCTTTTAAGGACCTCTAAGGTCATTATTAAATCCGGATTCAAGTATACAAAGAATATTGACATCAGTACATTACATGTTATGTTGGGCAACTTTTGAAGAGATAGACGGTAACCAACGAACTACAATGGTAAGTATCCCTCAACTCTCGCCTATTCGACGAGAAGAATATTTTATCTATTTCAAACAAATCCAGTTAACCTATAATACCTGGTTGTCCCTTCCCCCCGCTACCCCTTCTCCGAAGAACTAACCACTAACAGATAACAATGATTTCGTTCTGTACCGACCTCGGTAGTAATAGGAATTGTTAACAAAAACATGGAGTATAGCCATACAGAGAGTCATCTAGACAAAATATAACTTTATTTCTTTTGGAAATTTGTCAATGACGAATAAAAATTGAAATCGAATGATACACACATATCCGTCGGATATATTTATTTCCTAACTATAGCCATGGCTGATAAATTCAAGATTCATACCAGTTCTCCTTTTCTCTTAATCATTGTGTCGTCGGAACCTGGTATTGTAATGTAGTGGAAACATAACACATCCAAGACAAATTCAATTTATAGAATCCTGTTAAATAAAAGATTGTGCAATAAAATTGAATTGAAGTAGAGGAGCTTCTACTCGAAATATCATATTCTCATTTACAAGTTAAGAACATAAAGCGAGGAAAATAAACTCGAATTTGTCCAAAATTTTAATTTTATTATTTATTTTGGTTTGCATCCTAATAGGGAAGAAGTATACGGGAAATTTGTACATTTGTGGAGATTAATACTTATCCGATCAATACTCTCCAAATGGAATGATAATGTTGTTGCTATTTTTACCAGCTGGGAAAGAAATACATCATTAACATTTATGAACCAAGTATGTAGTGGGAGAGTTATTTTCTTGTTTGGTATAGATGGTTAGGAAACTAATGGAAAATAGTAGTAGGAATCTAATATTTCAATTGGATGTATTTCCGAAATAGTTCATATAGGCAATCTACTATAGAATGGTAGGATATGTTTTGTCAGAGAATATTCTTAGGGATGTGCCAAACTTATCTATATTGTTCGAGAATAATCTACTGAAAAAGAAAGATAAAAATCATGAGAATAGGTGAGAGAAATGTAAGGAGGAATTATTTTTCATGTATTATAGAGTGAACTTTTTATGAATTAATATTTTTTGAATTATTGTGATAACTAAATTGTACGAGAAATGTTTGTCATTTATTTCATTTCAGAATGGTTTTGAAAGAACAATTACCTTTACAAACCCGATTCATCAAATTCCTACTTACATTATTTACATGATTTGTTTCATTCAAATGAAGTTTATTGCTCAAAGCTTTTCTAATGAACCTTTAATTGAATGATACCTTAAGTGAAAACCCACTATATATGGTTGTTGAGGCTAGTGTTAACAAAAAAAATAAAAAGAAAGACTGATTTGAATCGAATAAAACAAAGGAGATTCTGGTAGAAAGGTCTTTTTGAGGAAGTAAGCTCTAGAGTGTAATAAATATAACATATACTTACTTGTCTTTTGGCATCATCTTCTACAGCTAATGATTCCTCCCGCAATTGAAATTTTTTCACTGAAACATAGTACAACTATGCAATGTTTCCCACCACTTTGTAATTCGAGAAATCCTCCTCACTTACTATTGTCTCTCAACAACAATATCGATACTTGATATGATATTATTTCATATTACATTATGTTACACTGTATTGTTTTAATTTAATGGGGTTTCCATTTCTACTGACAACTTCCAGCCCACAGATCTGCATAGAGACTAATTCAAGAGTCAACGGTATACTGCCTTAATTTCTCATAGGCAATGGTTTAAATGAAAGTGCTTCTTCTTACAGGTAACTCATAGTATCCACATGTTTAAACATATGAGAAGTTATAATCGATTAAATAATTGTAGTCGGAAACCCTCGCAAACAAGCTTAACTATGCTACATTTGTATTTCTGATTTCAAGAATTTGCTAGGGATGATATTGAACATTGAACTAAAACCATAGTGGTAAATTCGTTTAATTAATATTAATGATAGCTTAATGGAATTCTTCAGAACAAATTAAAGTTTTAGGTATATATACTCCCTTATTAACTCATTCTTCAAAAAATTAATTGTTATATTAAGCTCGTATTTTTTAAATGAATATTGATTATTATGTTAATTCTTATTCTTATTAAATTTTTATTTAAAGCTTAAGATTGTTAGTCTTAAACTAATACTATAACAACAAGAATATTTATATTATCATAGCAACATGCTATCTGCAATTACTAACAGAGATATTGGTACTGACTTAAACATGTGGGGGTTATTAGAGGATAAAGAATTATTTACAAATGATAATAACTCGATTGCATCATCGAACACAACATGGTTAGAATCTTTAGAAAATGTTATCTCATCTAGTTCTAGTTCAACTTCAACTTCAAATTCTCCATTAGATGAGCAATTATTGAATTCTACAGACGTCTTTAGTACCAATTTAAATATGCCAAATACTATGCCGCAACAATATACATTGAGCAATGCTCCTGTAATAAAACAGGAACAGGCAGAAGATATTAAAATTAATAACAAGATTCCACAATCTCAAACAACTAAAATAAAAAAGAAGAGAGCACCAAGAAAGAGATTAACAGCAGATCAAAAACAGGCACATAATAAGATTGAAAAAAGATATAGAATTAATATCAATACTAAAATTGCTAAACTGCAGCAGATTATTCCTTGGGTTGCTTGTGAAGAAACCGCATTTGAAGTTAGTGACACTTTGAAAAATATTAAAAGTGGTGATAATTCAGTAGTTGATCTTCACAAGAATTCTCTTATTTCTGTTCCACCTCCACCAGCTACTATTGTTGCTCAACCATCTGCAAAATTAAACAAAAGTATGATTTTAGAGAAAGCTGTAGATTACATATTATATCTTCAAAATAATGAAAAATTATACGAAATGGAGGTTCAAAGGTTAAGGAACGAATTATATACTGCAAAGCATATAAAAACAACTGAATGAACTATAACATAGAAGGTAATGATTACAAATTCAAAGAAAATAATTGATCTCAAACAAATGGATTACTGAAATAGTTCAAGCAGAAAAGGAAATAAAGAAATTCTATTGCTTGCTATACACTAAATTTTCCTATGTGTTCCCTACAATTTTGTTTTCAAAAACGATTAATATATTCAAATATCACTCATGTTAATAAGGTAGTTTATATGTGGATATAAATTAAGGACGGTACATATTTTTCAAGTTGATCTTAAAAATTGGTCAAATAATTTCAATATAACTTCCAAAGAATTGACAGTAAGTATCAAAGTAATAACAATAATAACAACATCAATAATAATAAAAATAATAATAATAATAATAATAATAATAATAATAACAGTAAAAAAAAAATTTCTAGCTAATAAGCTATTTTATTATGTGACAACAAAATTGTCTATGACTATTCGTAAATTATTCAAAATTAGCTATTTTAAAGCAACTTCTTACATTTTACGGGAATATGTCTTAAGAATAATTAAGGATAATACATTATTAATTTTCAATGCCTATGTCGATATACGCATTAAACTGACTTTAAATAAACTTGGTTAAACTTTTATAAGCTAATAAGAATACTATATAAAGAATTAATTTTATATTTTCTTCATAATTCTTCACTTTTTAATATTTTTCTTAGCTTGCCAAATACCTTTTGGTGCAAACTAAAAGTTAAAATATTTATTCATTTAATGTTCTCTTTAAATTAAAAAATTGTAACTATGCAATTCTTATTTATTTATTAATTTATTATACATTAACAAAACCACTCGTTGTAATCTAATTTCTGAAATGATTCTTCTTTTATTAATTTAGTCAGTGAATTTGGTATATGTGGATGCTAGAAGTGTCATTCATTAAGTATTGTACCAGAATTTTCATTAATTTTTCCACTACCACAGTAATGATAGCATAAACTCTAATTATGTATATATTTGTTGGATAGATCTATCTTTTCACTTCCCTAAAGGGAGGTCTTTAAAGTAATTGGCAACTTTTACGCAAATTTAGATGACAAAACAAACAAACATGAACGACAATATGACAAAGATTATTTCTTTAAGATAGTTACGACATCTTCATCTTCTAGCACATGATTCAAACCAACGTATTGAGGTTGGTGCTTAACACTACTACCAAAAACTAATGCATTTCTAAACTCATCGACTAAAGATTTGTGAATTTGGTTACAGAAGTCCTTAACAGAACAACGGTCAGATCTCAACACGACTGGATCTGTGAAATCTGGTATTTTACCCTTTGGTTTTGTATAAACTCTAACCAAATTTAATCTATCCCACATGACTTCTAATAGTTCATCCAGATTCCATTCTCTACCTGAAGAAATAGGAACGGCATTTGGGATTCTATATAACAATTCCAATTCTTCCAATGATAAAGAATCAATCTTGTTCAAAACGTAAATGGCAGGCATATATCTTCTTGAAGGAGCTTCAAGGACATCGATTAAGTCATCAACGGTAGCATCGCATCTGAAAGAAATTTCTGCACTGTTAATTCTATACTCACTCATTACAGCTCTAATTTCATCATGACTTAAATGGGTCAAGTTAACGGTGCTGGTGATTGAAATACCACCTTTCTCCTTTTTCTTAATGATGACATCAGGAGGGGACTTGTTCAAACGAATACCCACACCTTCCAATTCTTTTTCTATAATCTGTTTATGATGCAAAGGTTTATTAACATCCAAGACGATGAACAATAGGTTACAAGTTCTTGCGACGGCAATAACTTGCTTACCACGACCACGACCATCTTTAGCACCGTCAATGATACCTGGCAAATCCAACATTTGGATCTTGGCACCTTTATAACGAATAACACCAGGGACAGTAACCAAAGTTGTGAATTCATATTCAGCAGCTTCTGATTCGGTACCTGTCAATTTTGACAGCAGAGTCGATTTACCAACGGAGGGGAAACCGACAAAACCAACGGATGCTACACCTGTTCTGGCGACATCGAAACCAACACCACCACCACCACCTGAGGATGCATTACTGGTTAACAATTCCCTTCTCAATTTAGCTAGTTTAGCCTTCAATTGACCCAGATGGAATTCGGTAGCTTTATTTTTTTGGGTTCTAGCCATCTCATCTTCGATGGATTTAATTTTTTCCACTGTGGTAGACATCTTGAATAAATATTTTCAATGATTAAGCCAAATAACTGTCAATAGGACCACGATTGCTAAAGTTTCCCTTGGAACAGAACAAATTACAAGTTTTGTCTGAGTTTCTTAATTTATATCAGTGTTCGAAATACGACTTGGAGTAACAGTGACGAACTCTTATCTCTTAACAATATAAAGTAACTGATGATCAATCTAGAATTGCAAGAACAGTAAACATTCTAATCAAAATATATAAATTGAATTAATTTGTATAATGTTAGCATTGAAATGAAATATCAAGTTAATAATTTTTCAGTTAATTTTTTAACATTTTTTTACTTTTTTTCTTCTTTTGGTCCAGTTGGCGATGAGATTGGGCACAAAACAAAAGAAACGTGAAGAGCTAAGACCGATTTTCAAAAGTTCAAAACACGTGATCCGTTGCAAGTGATAGATCACGTGGAATACACATGACTACATATTCATTACCCGGATGTGCTCTTTTTTTTCCTTCCTTCTCCCGTCGGTTCTTCTTCCTCTGGTTGTCCGGTGTCCGTTGTCCCTTTCTCTTCCTCTCTCCAGTTCTCCTGTGAACGGGAACGGGAACTGGCAGAGAGAGCTTGAAAAGTAGCCAGGTAGACACAGACACACACAGAAGAAAGACGAAAGACGAAAGGAAAAATTTTCTGTAAAGGCCATCCATCATCTTCATCTTCATCTTCATCTTCATCTTTTATCAACCAAGCAACGACATATCGAGACAGACAGAAGACAAGAAGATGTTTCTGAACAGTTCAATTGAGTTAAGTTGAGTTGAGTTGTTAAATTTAAATCAACTATTACAATCAATTATTCTCATTGCAATTTTAAGCTAATTTTGAAATTTCAAGATTTTTTGATAATTAGTGGGTTTTGTATATGTATACGTCTCTGTGAGTATCTCCATCTCTTTACTATTCATTGCTTCAAGTTTAAAGTTTTAGTGTGTAGGTTATACAGTATTAAGGCCAAATAAGCATTTGTGGTATTTGTTACGTTAAAGAAACGAAATCATAAGGTACAAGGATTATTACATTTGGGATAAAAATAAAATAAGAATAAAATGGCTAAGAAGAGTAAGAAGAACCAACAAAATTATTGGGATGAAGATTTCGAAGAGGATCTTCCACAAGGTGAAGAAGTAGGTAGCAATGAAAACGAAAGTGAAGCTACTCCAGAAGTTTCAACTGACGCTGCTGTCGAAGGTGCTGAAGCTATTGAAGCTGATTTCATGTCTGCTTTGAAAAAGACAAAGAAAAAACAAGATAAAAAGGAATATGGATCACAGACTAACAACTCTTAACCAGCTTTTTAAGTCTAAGAAAGAGAAAGAAAGAGAAAAGAAGGGAATTGGAAAAACAGAAAAAAGAGGGAAGCTGCTGCTGCCAAGAAAGCCCAACACCGAGAACAAAAATCTAGGAACAAAGAATTGGAGCAAACCGAATGCTGAAAAAATTAGCTGCGGAGAAGGAGGAAACTAAGAATAAGAAAACCGACTCAAATGATTCATCTTCAAGTGCTAAGAAACCTGCCGCCAACAAGAAAAAAGTTCCTGCTGGTTTAGCTGCTTTGAAACGTCAATTGGAATTGAAAAAACAATTGGAAGAACAAGAACGTTTGGAAAGAGAAGAAGAAGAACGTTTGGAAAGGGAAGAAGAAGAACGTTTGGAAAAGGAAGAAAAAGAGAAAGAAGAAGCAAGAGCTGCTAAAAAGGAAAAGGATAAAGCTAAACGTGAGAAATTAAAATCTGAAGGTAAATTGTTGACTAGAAAACAAAAAGAAGAGAAGAAATTGATGGAAAAAAGACGTGCTGCTTTGTTAGCTGCCGGTAACATCAAAGTCGCTGGTTTAGCTAAATCTAACGGTGATGCTGAAGAAGCTCCAAAACCAAAGAAAATTGTTTACGGTAAGAAAAAGAAGAGAACTACCGATGAAGCTAAGACTTCTTCCGAAGCCGATTCAAAGATATCTTCTGCTGACGCCAAGTCTGAAGCTACCGGTGAAGAGGTTTTAATCGATGATTGGGAAAATTTGGCCCTTGATGAAGATGAAAATGAAGAATCTCAAGAAACTCAAATCGAAGAATCCTCTACAGTCGAAGAAAATGAAGATGAAGAAGATCAAGAAAGGGAAGGCTCCGAAACTCCATCGACAGAAATCAGAGTTAAGAAAGAAGTCGTCGAAGCTGAAATTTCTTCCCCAGCAGTCAGAAAGGCTCCTACTTCTGAATCTACTTCTGGTAAGAAAGACTTGCGTTCTCCTATTTGTTGTATTTTGGGTCATGTCGATACCGGTAAAACTAAATTGTTGGATAAAATTAGACAAACTAATGTTCAAGGTGGTGAAGCTGGTGGTATTACCCAACAGATTGGTGCTACTTATTTCCCAATTGAAGCAATTAAATCTAAAACCCAAACCATGGCTAAATTCGAAAAGCAAACTTTCGATGTTCCAGGTTTATTAGTTATCGATACCCCAGGTCACGAATCTTTCTCCAACTTGCGTTCTAGAGGTTCTTCCTTATGTAACATTGCCATTTTGGTTATTGATATTATGCATGGTTTAGAACAACAAACCATCGAATCTATCAGATTATTAAGAGACAGAAAGGCTCCTTTCATTGTTGCTTTAAACAAAATTGATAGATTATATGATTGGAAGACTTTCCCAAACAACGACTTCAGAGACTCTTTTGAACAACAATCAAGAGCCGTCCAAGACGAATTCAACTCTAGATTGGAAACTATCAATTACAACTTTCTGAACAAGGTTTGAATTCCGAATTATACTTTGACAACAAGAACATGTCTAAATACGTATCCATTGTTTCAACTTCTGCTGTAACAGGTGAAGGGATTCCAGATTTTTGTGGTTATTATTAGAGTTGACTCAAAAGAGAATGTCAAAACAATTGATGTACTTATCTCATATAGAAGCTACCGTTTTGGAAGTCAAGGTTGTCGAAGGTTTTGGTACTACCATTGATGTTATCTTATCTAACGGTTACTTGAGAGAAGGTGACCGTATCGTATTATGTGGTTTGAATGGTCCAATTGTAACGAACATCAGAGCTTTGTTAACTCCTCAACCATTGAGAGAATTACGTCTAAAATCTGAATATGTTCATCATAAAGAAGTTAAAGCTGCATTGGGTGTTAAAATCGCTGCTAATGATTTGGAAAAGGCTGTTTCTGGTTCCAGATTATTAGTTGTTGGTCCAGAAGATGACGAAGAAGACCTAATGGATGATGTCATGGAAGATTTGACTGGGTTACTAGATTCTGTTGATACTTCTGGTAAGGGTGTTGTTGTTCAAGCTTCTACCTTAGGTTCTTTGGAAGCTTTGCTAGATTTCTTGAAGGATATGAAGATTCCAGTCATGTCTATCGGTTTAGGTCCAGTTTACAAGCGTGATGTGATGAAGGCTTCCACTATGTTGGAAAAAGCTCCTGAATTTGCAGTTATGTTATGTTTCGATGTTAAGATCGACAAAGAAGCTGAACAATATGCAGAACAAGAGGGTATTAAGATTTTCAATGCCGATATTATTTACCACTTGTTCGATTCGTTTACAGCCTACCAACAACAACTATTGGAACAAAGACGTAAAGATTTCTTAGAATTTGCAATCTTCCCATGTGTCTTACAAACATTACAAATTATCAACAAACGTAACCCAATGATCATCGGTGTTGATGTGTTAGAGGGAGCTTTGCGTGTTGGTACACCAATTTGTGCTGTTAAGACTGATCCAACTACTAAAGAAAAAATGGTATTGTTATTAGGTAAAGTTGTCTCCTTAGAAATTAACCATCAGTCTGTTAATGAAGTTAAAAGAGGCCAAACTGCCGCGGGTGTTGCTGTCCGTTTAGAAGACCCATCTGGTCAACAACCAATCTGGGGTCGTCATGTTGATGAAACTGATACATTGTATTCAATGATATCCAGAAAGTCTATTGATACGTTAAAGGATAAAGCTTTCAGAGACCAAGTATCAAAGGGTGATTGGTTATTAATCAAGAAGATGAAACCTGTCTTTGGCATCGAATAGATTTAATATTATAAAAAAAATTGATATTTTAATGTGTACATATGTATATTAATAATCCATAAATCTTTTGTTTTACTTGTAGTTTCTGGTCTTAAAATAATATTTATAATCATAACCTACAGATTAGTTCAATCAACCTTTATTTGAAATATCCAATAAAATTTTACGCCTATTGGCGATTAATCAAGTGTTTTTTTGATTTGTTTATATTTTTACATACTAACTGATTTTTTATCAAGTAAATGGCCTTTACGCGTTCTATTCTTCGATATAAAAACATCATAATTCTCATATCCATTATTATATAACTGGATGAATATAAATATGCATAGCTTTAATGAACAATGTTTAAAGTTTAAACCAAGTAATTAGTTTAGATCAAACATCATATATGTATATTGCTGTTTTATAGTTATGTCAGCTCCTACTATGAGATCTACGTCAATTTTGACGGAACACCTGCAGTATCCACCAATTTCACTTGTTGATGATATTATCAATGCTGTCAATGAAATTATGTATAAATGTACATCTGCAATGGAAAAATATCTATTAAATAAGAACTTTATTGAGGGAAAAGATTATACTTCTGAAATCAAAGTTGGGATTGCAAAATTAGAGACTTTACTAGAACATTCTGTTGATAAAAATTTTGATAAGTTGGAATTGTATATTCTAAGAAATGTATTAAGGATCCCACAGGAATTATTAGATAATAATGTCTTTAGGTTAAAACATCAAAAAGATTTAGTCATAGCAAACAAGGACCAGATCGACGATGGTGTTAAAGAGTTAAAAGATAAGGTTTCAGAGATTAATAAAGCTTTCCAGGTAAAATATCAGTTACAGCATAAATTAGATAGAACAAAAGTTCTTCTAAATAAGACGAGGAAGTTCAAAGAAATGGTAATAACTATTTTAGAATGCAGAGAAGATAGCGATGTTATTAAGGAAACCTATAACTCATTAAAACCAATAGATGATTCAATGAAACTATTAACTAGTCAACTACGACAGTTATATATTGATAGTGAGGAATATGCATCAATGGAAACCGTAAATAATATAATAAAGATGACACTTAATGAGAAAAATGATGAGTTATTAAATTCAAGATCAGATTATATCGACTCAAGTGTCAAAGTAATGCTACAGGAGAATGTTGACAAACAAAAGTCTCTATCAGTTCCAATAGAGTTAGAAGAATTAGAATTGAAAGTTAATGATATTCCTAAAGAGTTAGATATTGAAGACCCTGATTTATCGGTACTAGAATGAATGTTGTTTTATAGATTTCATGAAAGTAGCTATATCACTTAGTTACTTTGACATTCTTCAGTTAAGATCTAATAGAAAATTGTTGCACGTGATCGTTATTTAACTTTTTAATTATTGCAACTGTCGTCGTTGGTAATCTATATGGTTTGTGACTTTTAATGAGATGCCACATAAAACATATTTATATCGGATTGTTATCTTACCCAAATTTTCAGTACAGTGCATAAGATACATTAATATAATAAAAATGACAAACTGTCTGCATATTTCAAGTGATTTATACTTTACAAGCTATAATGACTAAAAGAACTGGAAATTCCGATGGTCAATCGGTAATCCAAAGATTGCATAATGAGCTAGTACAATTAATAATGTCACCGACCCCAGGATTAAGCGCATTTCCAGACCATGAAGAAAATTTAACGAAATGGTCTGGTACTATAACTGGACCCGATGATTCTCCATATGCTGGATTACGTTTTAAAATTTCATTAACCTTCCCTGATCGATATCCATATGAACCACCCAAAGTGAAATTCGTTAGTCCTATGTGGCATCCCAATGTTGATCTGAGCGGAAACATATGTTTAGATGTGTTAAAGGAAAAATGGTCTGCAGTATATAATGTTCAAACTATTTTACTCTCTTTACAAGCTTTATTAGGAGAACCGAATAATAGTTCACCTTTAAATGCAATTGCTGCAGAATTGTGGGATGGGGATAAAGAAGAGTATGCAAGAAAGCTTGCAACAATATATGAAGAGATTTTGGATTGAGTATGCGTTTGTTTATATTATCCATATTCTTCACAAATAGTAAGAGGAAAATAAACTAATCTAAAAATAGTATTTGTAACTTCTATAAGATAAAAATTGTAATAATTAAATTAAATCAATCCAAAACAGTCATGTGCTTATAAGATAATTCAAGTTCATAATAGACACACAAATATATATATATATATATATATATATCATCAAACTTTATCAACATACTAAGTTTATCATTTTGAAGAAATATTGTAATAATTAGAATACTGGATAATGAGATAGAATTAACGTAAATCTATATTTTTATAAGAACAATATATAAGTAGTCAACAATCTATAGTTTAATATGATGAAATTATTCTGGTGACCTAGCATTGATCAAGATAATGATCCAGTATAAAAAGCTATGAACGTCCCCTCACTAATTGTTCTAAACATCTGGAAACGAAAGCTCATAAATAGAGACTTTTCCAGAGAGTCTGCCAAATCTGGGATACATCACGAAGAGAATTGAAAGAAAGACATTAGAAGAAAAGAAGAATATTCTGTACTTGTCTCTAAGAAATAAAAAAATTGATCTTGTTTTTTACTGCCAATTCAGTTCCCCACTGTCTATTGTTTCCTTGAGGAGACTAATATCTTGATTTAATTAAACATATGCCAAGTATAAGAAGAATAATAAATGGAATGCATCAAAGTACTGTTATCAATTACTATTATCTGTTTTCTTATTTTAAAACTGCTCTACCTTCATTGACGTTACCATTCAATACTCATACCATATTAATAGAATGTCTGGAAAAAACTGTGAATTTGAGTCACTTGCTCAATTGGCATGGCTTAATTATGAGAATGAACAAGAATAATAAGAAATACACAGATAGAATTCAATGAGAAAACGTCATAATTGGAATATCACACTACGCTTTTTATTATTTTTTTTATTATTGGAAATTTATTTCAGAGCAACGCCGGTACCGGTGGTGGAAAACAATATCCACTGAGACGAACAAGAGATTAAAAAAAAAAGAAAGTTACCAAAAATGACAAAATTAAAAAAAAGAAAAAGGAGAGTTTAAACAAGCAGTCCCATAATATCCTACCATTTGACCATAGTTAAACGTTTTATGAATATTTTGTTGAAATGCATTAGTTAGATGGCAGAGATATAGGTTATAGCTATGGCACTAGCAAGCACGGTAAATGAAATATCAAAGGCATTATATATATATATATATATAAATTTGAGGGAGAGTAGACAACAGCTGCTAAAGTAGCACCAAAAAACTAGAGTAACAAGAAAGCTATCAACAAGCAAGTAATGTTAAACAGGTACTCCCCATCTTACTGTGCCTTCTCTTATTGAAATTTCTTGCTAACATAGTGATCGATTCGTAAGCAAAAATTGAAAAATAAATTGTTCTCTCCGTTGCTCTTGTAACTAAGACTGGACTGAAATCAATTAGATTTCGATTTTAATCCAAATTATCACTCAACTCTCATTTATCCTGCAGACGTTTCTTGCCCGAATTCATATACCTTTCAATTTTTTGTTTTATTATGTGTTATTTACTTCCTTTAAGAAGTATCTTAGCTCTGGCGAGTTCTCCCCCTTTAACGGGATTCGAAACGGACAAAAAGCCGGATCAGGTCAGCCTACTACCAGAGAGATTCCCCTACCCGTCGTTTTTCTTTTTACCTCCTCTCCCTCTCCCTCTTCCTTTCTTTTCCACTAAGCGCTCTCAAAAGATTCGAACCAGACGGGAAAGAAGTTATGAAGGAACAGCACACATACTCACGAAGCAGTTGATATTAAGTGATACATTTTCAACCTTTCGAAATCAGTTTAACTATAAGGAAAAGGAACTTACTAGTGAAACTTAAGGCATTTTAGGTTAAGTAATGAAGAAAAAACACATACACCGTAGCCATCAAGAATTATTACTCTGTACTTAGATTACATGTAATAATGGTAGCAGTGAATTGAGATACTCTCTATAAGCCGAATGCTTCAACCTATACCTCGATTCAAAAACAAAACTGTAGTTGATGGTCTATCTATGACACACACTTTCCAATTTTGGACCTACGTATGTATGTCTATCCTTAGTTCATAGTTAATCCAGCTCTATACGTCAACTTGTTTGTAATCATCCATTTGGATGTTATAATTTCAATATTTTATTATATATATATATATATATTCATTTCCCTATGTGACATTATTATCTATAAGGTGTTCTTTTCTTGAAATAAAGGCTATCTTTGATTCATAATCAAAACAGCTAGCATTGACACTCGTACCCAATTCTGGTTGTATATACTATTAAAAGAGATCGAAAGGTCAAATAATATTATTGTTGATAAAGTCAGATAAAGTCAAACCAAAAAATCAGAAAAAAATTATATATATAAATATAAATGCCAGATTCATTTCCAAAGGAAACGAAAAGCCCCAGCTACGCATCTTCAGAGCATTCTTCAATAGTAAGCGCTAATAGTTATAATTCTAGTGCGGGCAATAGCAAGACCAGAGGTTATTTCAGGAACTTTATAGACTCTTACAAAAGGGCCGACCCTTCTCAATTACACAATGCCAGATCAGAAGATGTAGAAGATGGTATTGCTTCAATTAGATCAGATACTCAATTCAAAAAATCTCTAAGTTCCAGACATGTCATCATGATGTCTTTGGGGACAGGAATAGGTACAGGTTTATTAGTTGCCAATGCAAAAGGTTTATATTATGGTGGTCCAGGTTCCTTAATCATAGGTTATGTCTTGGTTTCATTCGTAACTTACTTCATGATTCAAGCTGCAGGTGAAATGGCCGTTGCATATCCCACTTTACCTGGTAATTTTAATGCCTATCAATCTATTTTCATTTCAAAATCGTGGGGATTTGCTACTGTGTGGCTATTCTGTATCCAATGGTTGACTGTTCTACCATTGGAATTAATCACGTCATCTTTAACAATTAAATACTGGAATGACAAAATTAATGCTGACATTTTTGTCATGATCTTTTACGTATTCTTAGTGGCAATTCATTTGGTTGGTGGAATTCGTGCTTATGGTGAAACTGAATTCTTATTTAACTCATGTAAGATATTGATGGTTATCGGTTTCATCATCCTATCAATTGTCATAAATGCTGGCGGAGCTGGTAATGACGGTTATATTGGAGGTAAATATTGGCATGAACCTGGTTCTTTTGCAGAAGGTGATGCCACTTCTAGATTTAAAGGTATTTGTCTTGTTTTGGTATCAGGTTATTTCTCATACGGTGGTACTGAATTATATGTTTTATCAGTCAATGAGCAAGCTGAACCAAGAAAAGCTACCCCAGCAGCCGCAAAGAAATCCATTTACCGTATTTTGATCATCTATTTATTGACCATGATTTTGATTGGTTTCAACGTTCCTCACAATAATGATCAATTAATGGGTGCTGGTGGTTCAGCAACTCATGCCTCGCCTTACGTTTTAGCTGCCACTATCCACGGTGTTAAGATTGTTCCTCATTTCATCAACGCTGTTATTCTAATATCAGTTATATCTGTTGCAAATTCATCATTGTTTGCTGGCCCTAGATTACTGAGTTCATTAGCTACTCAAGGTTATGCTCCAAAAATTTTAAGTTACGTAGATAGAGAAGGTAGACCTTTGGTAGCATTAGGAATATCGTTTTTGATTGGATTAATCGCATTTGTTTCATGTACATCTCATGAAGAAGAAGTTTTCACTTGGTTAGCTGCCATTGCTGGTTTAAGTGAAATTTTCACCTGGAGTGGTATCATGTTTTCTCATGTTAGATTTAGAGCAGCTATGAAGGTCCAAGGAAAGGACATCAATGAGCTAGGATACAAAGCTAATACAGGTGTTTGGGGCTCAGCATATGGTGCTTTTTTTGGTGTTCTAGTGCTAATTGCCCAATTTTGGGTAGCACTAGCACCAATCGGTAATGGCGGAAAATGTGACGCAGAGGCATTTTTCGAAAGTTACTTGGCATTTCCCATCTGGGTTGCCTGTTACTTTGGTTATATGATTTATAATAAAGATTTCACCCTACTATCACCGCTTGATAAAATTGATTTAGATTCTTATAGAAGAATTTATGATCCTGAATTAATCAAACAAGAAGATGAAGAAAATAAAGAAAATTTGAAATCCAGACCGTTATATTATAAAATATACAGATTTTGGTGTTGAATTCATTTGATAGAAAAAGTATAAAAACAAAAGCGACACCAGATTAAAAGAATAGTCATAGCATTTTCCAAAAACACATCATTTTAAATAAAAAATATTGAACTTTTATTTAAACCAATTCATTCATTCTCTTTAAAATTGAAAACAAAATAATATAGCATGCAAATAGAAATTGCCCATTAATCATAATAACTTTATATTTGTAATAGTACAAATTCATGTAATTCATAATTATATAATAGAATATATTAAAACAATTACCATGTCAAAAAAGCTAAATAATTCGTTAAGTTCATATCAATCCATCAGTTTGGCAGAAATTAATTGATTAAAAGTTCTTGTTAGTATGAAAATATAATCCAATTTATGATAGCTATTCCAATCATTAATTTTGCACTTTTCTATGTCGCATCATTTTTTATTAATTTGTAAGGATCATATAATCTTTGATAGTCAGTTTTATGCGGACGCTATACTAAATCGGATCAATATCAAAAATTTCGTTGCGATGCCCCCATTAACAAATTTTAAATAAAAAAATATAATAAAGATGAAAAATTATCAAATTGATTCAATTAAGATCGGTTTATTTAATTGTAGAGGTTGTTATATATAGTATTTTAATACACCTCTTTAAGTCAAGTATTTGTAGTTTTTGTAATAATCATATTGATTAGATTTAACAAGGAGAAGAATAAATAACAGGCTTCTAAAGGAGTAAGAAAGGAAAAAAATGTTATCTTTTTGTCCTTTATGTAATAACATGCTATTAGTAGCGACATCTGATAGTGGTATCTATAATCTTTCCTGTCGTTCATGTCCTTATGAGTTTCCAATAGAAAATGTTGAAATTTACGACAGAAAAGAATTAGAAAGAAAAGAAATTGATGATGTGTTAGGTGGAGGTTGGGATAATGTTGATCAAACTAAAGTGCAATGTCCAAATTATGATAACTGTGCTGGTGAAAGTGCTTATTTCTTCCAATTACAAATTAGATCTGCAGATGAACCGATGACTACTTTCTATAAGTGTGTCAATTGTGGTAATAGATGGAAAGAAAACTAGTCTCCACAATCACATTTTATGAATTTTATATTATTTACAAGAAGTTATAACTGAGTTACACCTCTGACCATTAGAAACCAATGAAAATAAGACTCATATCATAATAAACCTAAGAAGGTACAGCTTTCAAATGAGTATATTATCAAACCATGCATTTATAGATTTTATTTTTACATACATAAGTTAAAATACAATGTTACATATTAAATTGAAGCAATCGTTTATATTCCAAATCATTTGAAATGTTTAAAATTGTAACCCATTCAATTATACCACTTAAACAGTATCAGTTGATTACTTTTTCTTAAAACAGATGAACATCTTTACCACCCTTTGAACATATTTGTAAAATGAATTAATTGGCAATTAGAAAACACATCTGAAAAGAAGTAGTTTAGAGTAAATACAAATGGACCTATTTTAAAGAAACATTTTTCTTAACCTGTGGTATAATACCACTGACAAGATTTTAATTTTTACCAGACAAAATTGGAAATTAAAAAATCGAATCAATTATTGCATCTCAATAATTTTACTCTGGACCTTCAAGAAAGATTTTTTTATAGAACAGAATTTTCCTTCAAATAAAGTATGTGAAACAACCAATTGTAGATTGTAATCTGTAACTTGTAACATGTTTTATTTCAATACATTAATAAATTAAGTAGATTATGAATCGTACAGCATTTATTAAGCACCCTAGTCGAAAGGGATTAAGATGAATATCTTGGAAGATACATAATGTTACAAGTGGTATCAAAAAGCTTTAATGAGCTTCTCTTGGAACTTTTCTAAAACAATAATAAATAATAAGTAATTATCACGGTAGTCAAAGAAAAGCATGAGGTATCAGAGAAGGAAAACAGTAAATATTTATGGTCAGCTCAATTGAACTTCAAGCTGCGGATAAAATGTTCCACCTCCCACAAATAGATATCTAAGCAAATAATAACAGTTCCTATTATCATTTAGCTTAATCCATTTCTATTTTAATTTTAATCTTATTTTTCCTAGCACCGTTTGCCACCAATTTTGACTCAAGCACCCAAGTTACAATTATATTAACTTGGGTCAAGGGTCAAATGTCCTTGTTGTACTTCTGCTTTCCCGGAAATATAAAGTTTACCTTTCAAAGGTTGTTAAAGTTTCTTTAAACAGATGTACATGCAAAGATAGAAAATACAAGGATAAGCATGCGGAACTCTAAACGTTTCCGTGTTTCCAGATCCGTTACCGTATGTGACACTTTTACAAAAACAAAAAGGCTCAAACTATCGTAGAGGATGGTGTCTCTTTTGGAAGGATACTAACCGAATTGAACTTTAAGTGAATGTGTTTATTTTCTATTAGCTAATGTTTGTAGGACATGACTACTAATAATCACAGTCTACTCTTTCTCATCATATATCAATTATTTTACTCATCAACTAAACGTATTGTATTATTAAAATAGTAATGAACAAATTAAAAGGACATTTGACATTTTGCCCAGTCAATATTGGAATTATTACCAAAATAAGTTCCATAAACAATCCCTTTTATCAACATATTAACTAAATAAGCTATCAACATTGGTTAAGGTAAACGCTTTGCTGAAATCCGAAATTATAGTTAATTAATTTTTAAACCCTTCTTTGTTAGAGATATTATGTTAAGAAGTGATTCTACATGAGTTTACTTTTAATTCGGAAGTTTACTAGTTATTATTTAGAATTATTATTATTATTATTATTATTATTATTATTATTATTTTTCTTCTTCTTCTTCTTCCTCTTCTTACAAATTTAAACGATTATCCGTTACATCTGAATGTTACCCAAGTCTCTTGTTTAATTTTAGTTTTATATTTCTTTCTTTTGTAGGATATCGGAAATTATTCTACTTTCGTTAGAATAAGCCATCTGGACTTTAGAATTGAAGAGAGATATTGCTAGGGAGTAAATGGTCATCTAATAACTTAGGATAACAAAATATGAGGTTGGTTAAGTTTCCATTTTCTTTGAAGACACATCCTTGATCTCTTCTGGAAATTATAATTGCCTCTTATTACTAATTTATCACAGTTTAAGAGACAAAAAAAAAGATGTTTCTAGAAAGAATCAATGTTAACCTTTGGAAGATATTCGACGTATAACTAATTAGTCCATACAAAATGAATCAATCAACACTGAAAAATGAAGGGCATGGTAATCAGACACTTTCTCAGTAAGATTACTGTAGAAATGCAAAACTCTTAATATTGGCCTAATAATATCAATGGCAACAATAATAATAAAATGGATGACAGCTTTAAAAATTGTGACAAAAACAGGGTAGAAAATCAACAAATTAACAGAAGTGTTTTACTGCTTTTAATCAAACTTTTATAAAATATACAGCCTTTTCTTATTATTTTAATATTTAATATGATTCTTGTCATAATATTGTACTTTCTCTATGATCCTGGGCATTTCATTCTATAAGAAACGTTAAAAAAAGGAACAACAGAAATTATTAAAATGGATTTATCTTTAATTATATAGTCAAAACAAGGGGCATTTTTAAGATTTTTGTTTGGACGTAAAACAAAAATAAAAATTCTGCAAGTTAATAAGCATCATGTAGTTTTTTTTTGAAAACTTTACTTTTCTAAGAATACTATTTTTGAGAATAATAAAAACAAAATTAAAATGACTATTAGAATGAGCAAAATACAGAACATGTTTAACAAGTAAAAGATATTGAAGAAGCAATGTTTCTACTCAATTCTCAACCACTATTATTATTCTTGCAAAGTTTCATATTTCTAATATTAAATTTAGACATCAGGTATCGCGACTTTATGACTGTGCGGGGTTTCTTATCGTAAAACTTTCCTAAATAGGATACATAGATTTCAAAATATTCGGAGGACTCCAGAATAATGATCATAAATTATGTCGATGTACTTTGGGTAAATTCGATAAAAACTTCTTAACAATTAATTCGATGAAATAGAAAAGGCTGTTTCCGAGTTATATTACCACAATTGATGTGAATTAAATATAGATGATATATATTCCCATCTTGTCACGATTTTATAGTTACAAATAAATTGATTGGAGGTTGTATATGGAAATTTTAATATCATAGATGGCGTTTGAGCTATCAATGGTAAATGAACTGTTCTAAATTCATTTTGCCAAAATAACCTAGTCTAGAAGAATTGAAAAATATCCTAATTCATTCAGCAATTAACTAATCAATTATTGCGGGGAGTATGCTATTACATATGAAATCAAAAATCACGAACATGATGCGTAAGAAAAAAAACAAAAACAAAAGCTGGATCCGTTTAGGTAAAGGCAAGATCTTAAAAGAAGGCCCTGACAACGACAAAATAGTAAAGAATTATGCGATTTATTTTTTCCCGTTTCTTTTTTGTTTAAATTTTTTTGTCAATATATTCATCAAGATGTATAATATCCAAGCCTTTAGCTGTAATTGAAAGTCAACGACCTAGTTTCATAATAGAGGCACAATACAACATAAGTAGAAGTTCAACTTACGAAAATAAGAAAGAAAAAATAATATGGTAAGACACAGCAGTGCGGCATAGGTTGCAAAGCAATTAATTTTATTTTGCTAATATAATACGTGTACCTTATTAAATTTAAATTAAACTATTGTCTTATATACAAACAAACTCTAAAAGCAAAAATTAATTCGAAATAATTAGACCAATAGAATAAACAACGCTGTTTTTTTTAATCTTTTAAGCAGTACTTTGTGATTAGAGAGATCCATATCTATCAAACTAGTGTACAAGAGGAGCAAACCATTATAATAAGAAGATATTACAAAATAGAGATGTCCCTTGTAATAACTGCACGGACTTAAACCCACTTTTCCTTAAAGCACATAAAACCTGAAATCTACCAATTTAGTATCAAGTACAACACACGCATGCATTACGTTAGATCTTGTGTTTCTTTTTCAAGATTTCATGACAAATAATTGGCATTGGTCCGGCCATCAAATGGTTCTTATCCCATTAGGCGAACATACCCGAAGTTAGCCTTTAGAGATTAAATTAAAAATTTAATCTTGACTTTAAACTGGAATCAGCTGTTGGAAACTAACATAACTAGAGAATACGCAGATAATAATCCATAGTAAGAAATAAGAATATCTTACATTTCTTCTGAATATTGATAACCGGCGTAGTTGTTAAAATTATATCCTGAACGCCTTTTACAGTACTCCTAGTACATTTTTTTTTGACAAAATTTGCCTGTTTTGTTTTCATAACTGATTAGTATTCATTTAGCTCATTGCTTTCGCAATTTTAGTGTTAAGGATTCAAGAAGAAAAGTATAGAAGGCCCTTGCATTGTCTGAGTAAGCTCAACTTGTTCTTTAGACAATTATCTTACTAGTGTTTCTAACCAAGACTTTATGTAGTTTTTGATCTAGCCAGAACTTTGTATTGATTTCTCCAAAAACTTCTCGTTCCTAAAACTAAATCAAAACAATTCTTGTAATAAGAAACAAAACAGTGAAGTGTAACATATTATATTGGTATTATTATGACGATGGCAATTGATCCAATAATTAGAGCCTTCGAAGAATCAAACTTGTTTATACATAGGGTTGATATTGTTTGTAAAAGTTTCTTTTTTCGCTAATTGTTAATCCGATCTCTTTAAGGTTAAACGATGTAGATATTGAATTACTGATGAAAAGTGCGTTGAATATTAACCATTCTTGCCTATAGGAATAACGTAAAATAATAAATTGCATGCAAAAGAATAAACTTCTAGATCAATTGAATTAACTGTGTACTCAGTTGTTAGGGTAAACAAGTATATGCCATTGAAGGATCTCACGATTGGATACGGTTTGTGTAAAATATAAAGTAGCAGCAATGAATAAAATTGCGCCAATTATTTATCAACTATTATTAACATAGCGAAATGTAATTAGAAGTTGTTAAATAATATAATTCATTCATCTATTCTTAGTACTCAATTCTTACCAAAT